TTCAGCTTTGAATGAATGTTGCTTCCTAAATATGCAATAGTGATCATTTCCCTTTTTAATAAGGAAAAGCTAAGTAAGTTGACAAAACGGTTTTACAGTCTCATTTCCTGCTAGGGACCAGCTCTTTTCAATTCTGTTTCCTTTTCAATGAAATAGGATGACACCTTCACAACTGTATGGTGTACGTGCAAGAGAACAAACACTTGAACAAAGGCTTGGGACACTATTATGTCATTTTCACACATGAATTCTGTAATGTCTGAAAGAAGACAAAGCCAAGGTGAGTTAGACCTGGCAAATTACTTGGATGCAGGGAAAGTAATTTTACCAATATTTGAAAGGCTAAGAAAGACTTTTCTGTGTGCATGCATATACATGTAGAGAAAGAATCAGAGGAATAGAACAGGAATAAGAGAACATCTTCACAGAAAGTTTTAATTTGAGGACATATGTGTGTGACTGGGTGAGGGTACTCTCCTTCCAAGTGAGAAAAGAAAAATGTTTATTTTATGAGCAACAGTTATATGTTCAAACAGGCAATTAAAGTACTTTATTGAGGCCATTTTGGGATACCAAACACTCTGAAGATTATATTCCCTCACATTTCATGTTCAGTGTTCCTCTACGTAAAATATGTGGATCCATTTAGTTGCTCAGTTGTGAATTGTACTTTAAAGGCAAGGGCACATTTTTGATAATGTGTGTCTTAAACTTTTCATTAAACTACCAAATTTAAATTCTACATTTTTGTGCACTCTGACATTTTTGTCTGGCATTTTCATTAATTTTGCAACATACATAAATGTAGCTGAAATGTTAACTGATCAATACTTTGTCTCTTTCACATAGCACTGGAGTAAAGCTCCCTAAGGACCATGCAGCGGTACAGAAATTAAATGTGTATCAAATACTAATGTTAAATACAGCAGTAGTTATTGTGTAACGACTGAAAAGGCTAGAAGAATTCCAAATGGACAGATGGTAGCACAGATTACCTACAATCACTACTAAAGCTTGAAGTTTGTCCCATAAAATAATTCCTTGACTAACACTGATGTGTATCCTTTTACTGATAGCTCAGTTGTCCAATTATTTTTGTGATCTACAAGAATATAAATGTCTGGTCAAGAAGCTGATGGAAATTAGGCCCAGTTAGCAGATACTTCAGTGCCCACAGTGGATTAATCTGAAGAAAAAACACCCACTTTTGCATACTCTAATAAAGTTTTTCTGCCTCAAATGTATAATATTAATTACTGAATTAAAATAAGAAAATTAACTGCTAAATACTCTAAATATCTATACATAAAATCATGTGAATTTATGACAAAGGCTGCCTGTACATATTCTATTCTTTTCCGTTGCATTTAGGTGCTTAAGAAGCATAAACACAAGTATGTAACACATGCTTGATAAGCCTCTAGACATAACAGGACTCTGTGTGATACAATAAAGCTGTTCTGGAATTGAAACATCAATTTAAAACTGTTGCTACATACCTCCTTTATTTAACAGGAGATAAATATAGAAAAGCAGGAAAGAATATCAAATTTTTTGATTGTTCTAATCCAAAGTCATATGCTAGCCAAATCAACCTATGGTTCATGAGCTATTTATGAATATCTTTCAATATCTGAAAAGTAAGAGCTAGTAATATGTCATAGTTACATGAAAAGATTAAAAATTATGTATTAGTAGCAATTTCTCTTCTGCTGCAAATTACTGAATTACAGCAAAAAGAACTGGAGAGAAAACCTTAAGTCAGTCAGACAAAATCCCCAGTGAAGGTGATGAGTTTATGTTAACAGGAACAGGTAAAATATTGTTCAGTTGAGGAAATGCATAATCTAGAATTTTGAAAACTTAACTTCTAAGTTTCTCTACCTCTAGGCACAGCATAGGCAACACAAGTAATTGGGCTGGTGCCTTTGGACAGATTTTGGAAAGAATCATCCTAAACCTTTAATACAGCATTTCCTTATCTAAGATGTCCCAAATAATGTAAAGGTTTCAGACAGCTAAGTTCTGGAATACAAATAATCAGCAAGCCCCTTCAATGAACAGTACTAGTCTTGATGACTAACACTGACTCTCCAAGGAGAATGACTTTAAAAAGAACTGCATTAAAGCATGCAGAAAGTGGATAAAGCAGGTAACAGTAGCTTATTACAGAGTCACCATATTAATCAAGCCTTTCTGTAGGTTTCCAAGAGTAGTTTGTTTGTTTGTTTGTTTGTTTTTCCAGATTGATCTTAGTTATTAAGTTTCTGAAAACTGATCTAGTCTGTCAGAATTTCTTCACCTGTGGTCCTGTGTACCACCATGAGAAAGTAAAGCCATGGGGTAAGGTGCTAAACAGAAATACCTGTAACTGTAATGCCAAGGACTTGGGGCATTCCAAGATATGAAAAATCAACCCTCACATATGTAACTTACGTAAAATGGCTGTAAACCTGCATCAGAATGTTAACCATCAAGGTACGTCTTCAAATCCAATGGGGTGGAAGAAATGGCTGGTTTAAAAGTCTACTTCTCGTACATTATTTATTAGTCTGCCTAAAGAGCTAGAAACCTCCAGAACAGCCTATTTCTCATCTCCTTCCTGGCAATGACATTTTACTGTGACATTCTCTAACCTCAGTGAGACAATGTCAAGAGGAGATATAATTTGTATAACAGTGAAGAGTCAAAAAGTATACATATAGGCACATTTATTTTATACAGTCTATTAAAATCAATGTAACCTTGGTGCAAGTATAATGCAGCATTACACACTCAAACAGACCACTCTCAAGATTTTAAGAGCTTATGAAAGTCCAGAAACAACCTAAATACAAAGCTTATAATCATGATAGAAATTCACATACACTTGACTTGGCTAGCAAAAACTTTTTTTGCCAGACAGATCCTTGGAGAGAATAACATCAGGCCGAAAAGCACAGGATCCATTTTGCATGCAGAGCAGGAATACATCTGTGCAGTCACAGCACAAATATAAACATAATATATCCACAACTACCACAACTACTACTTAGCAAAACAAAGACTGCAAGGAAACTAAGAAAATCAAAATTTTTACATCTCTCTCTCTCTCTATATATATATATATAGAGAGAGATATATATAGAGAGAGAGAGATGTAAAATATGAATATATATATATATATAAATAAAATCAGGAACATGTTTCTACTGAAATACACTGTAACTACAATAATGATGTATACTGATTATAGACCTACCTGCTCAAATTCCGTGCTTTATGTATTTCCAAGTACTTATTACGACACTCATTTTTTTCTAAGACCAGCAACAGTTACATTTTAACAGCAACACAAATTCTTCCATGGCTACACCAGTGTGCCATGGGCAAAAAATAATTTCATTTTCCTCAAAGAATAGGATGTTTTTGCATTTCCCCTTCTTCCACTGGCATCCCGTGAGTGTTCCATATCCGTATTAAAATGAGAATTAAAGAGAATAGTACTTACTAACTGGAGGAGTAATAGCAATATGAACATCAAAGTTTTATGCAGAAACCTGCACTTTCCTATGAAATGTTAATAACTTCTAACTGAAATGACAGAACGCCGTTCTACAGTAAACAGCAGCAAGTGTATTTAGATATTTGCACATAAGTGTCATTGCTACAGACATCAGTAAAAGTATAAATCCCCTGACTCTTAGAGCAGCACAAGTATCTCATGTACTTCTGATGAACACTGCAACCAAGGACTGACAGCATTCTGTCATTCCTGACAGGCAAAAGGTGGTTTAACAAGTAACACAGTACAACTGAAGCCCTGCTAGAAGAAACTCCCTGCAAAACATCATGACGTAATGACATACACAACTACTCCATTTTACTGCACCGTCAGCTCCAGTGCCTTGTTTGATTTCTCCAAAATTGAGGCACCTGACCTTCAGGTGCATAAATAAAGAGTACTGTCACCAGACTCACTCTATAATTATTCAACGTTAGATGAAAACCATTCCCTATTCATATTCATGGGGGAGAAACTCAAAATCTCAGTATTCCAAGCCAACTTAATAAATTCAGATATTCCAGAAAGTGTGTCTATGTGTACATTTTTACTCCCAGTGGGACTCTCTCATGAAAAAACAAATGGGGACTGTGATCTTGTTTGTAGCTGTTATGATTTTGAAAATAGAAAGATATTTATCAGTGAAGCACAATTCAATCAACATTTAAGCTTGAAATGTTCAAAATTTAACAGGAAAATATAAGTTAACACTAATGAAGATAACATTCATTGAGAAATAGCAGTTTTGTTTAAATCACTAAAAATGAATTCACTAAAAACTGAACTATGACTAGAGCTTGCTGTCTAAAAGGTACTAAAAGATTGCATTAATGCTTTTAAAGTTGGTTGTGTTTTATTTGGATGGGCTTTTTTCTGTTTTGTTTTGTTTTGTTTTGTTTTTTATTCAGGAACACTACCTCTCAGTAGGGAAGGAAGTATTTGGGTCCAGAGTACTTCTTTTTGAAATTTGGTACTTCTGAAAAAGCCACAGGTGTAACATATATGGAGGACAAAATTTGATCTTAATTGTATGTAAATAAATAACTAATATTCAAAACAAGTATATGCAATAAATATGCAATATATGAGGGCACCAAAGAAGATTTAATGGAAGTAATTTGTGAGAAGCTTAAGATATAATAGTAATAATTCACTTACTCCATTTTGATCTGGATCACTCATAAATTATATAAGCAATTATATTTATATTTATACTATTAGTATATGTATATATATTATTATGGCTTTCAAAAAACCCCACTCTTTTTTTGTGTGACATTTTAAACTTAGTTACTCTTCTAAAAAGCTAAATAAACATTATTTTCATCAAATGTATCATCAAAATGCAAAGTTTTAAAATAAAAAAAGAGAAACCTCTCTATCTACACTGTATTGTCCCTCAGTCTAGAACACAAACACACTGGGGTGATTAAAAATAGTATAAAGAAGATCATACCAAAAAAGCAGCTAGACTTCTTGGGGGAGAATCCCAGTCAAAGCAACTGCTAATGTAGCAGACAGCAGTTACGAGTGCCATGACACAATGCTTCATCCGGATAAAGTTCCTCAACAGTAGCTGTTAAAAAGATGAAAGAATGAAAATATATCAAAACCCCAAAAAGTTTCAGAAGAGGTTAATGTTTACAATAATTTCATTCTTTATTTCTTAACTAAGGTGAAGACTGAGAAAATAACAAGCTCCCTAGCTCACAAATTGAGCAAGTTAGTTTAAATTCTCTGGCTTGGAAGACAGAGAATTTCTTAGTTGTGTGAACTGATATTTGCTGATTTTAATTCTAGATGGTACACAAATTGTCCACCATTAAAAAGCCGCTTTCAGATTTTCACAAATTATTTTCTTTATTAAATTTCAGTTTTACTGAGCCTTTCCTAACAAATGTTTGTCTTAATATAACGATGCTGCAGCACACTAAGCCAAACCCATGCAAAATTATTGCTCTAATCTAATTAAGATCATCTGTACCCTTTAACATTTGTAACAAATTTGTCTGGTCTCACGTATTTTGAAAACCTGGTTTTAAGTATTTACCAAACTAATTCTAACTGCATTCTTCTAAACTACACAGGCACAAGACATAACAGCTCTAGGTTTTGAGTCAGGAAAACATATTTAAATCCTCCAAAATAACTTCACAGAAAAAAAAAACAACAAATCCCCAAACAAACCAGTGAATTATTTGTGCACTGATTTGCTTAGAAAATGATCACTCCTCCTGCCAGCTGCAAAAGTCACAATACTATTTTCTGTTATGAAAGTGGGAAGAAGTATTAATATTGAGTAAAAGGTCTTATTGCTTCTTTGCTGGAAAAGAAGTGCAAAAGGCAGGTTTAGCAACTGCATTACTCCCAACGGTAAAGAAAGAAATATTTTGCCTCTTGAAATGTTTTTTTTATGAACTATATAAAATACTGATGTAAAATTCATCCAGTAGGTAATTTAAGCTATGCTCAAGTACATAAGTTTTCAGCAAAGTAAAAATCAGTTCTGAGACCTTTGCCTTTTCACTGAAAACAACAAAAATCTTGTCCCCAAAGTCCAATCGAAAGCCCAGCTCTCTCCATATAAAATACATCATTTGTGGAACAGGAAAACTGAACCAAAAGTAGTTCAAGAGGAGAAAAACATGTGTGTTTAAATATTCTTTACCAAAACATTAAAATTGTATGTAGTAAAAATATCCACAGTAAAAAGAAAGAGTCCAGACACTTCTACCCCTAGGATTCTCTGTAGTATAAAGTGTTTTAGTTTGCTTTCACCTTTGATCTAAACCTTATTCAACTAACTTATTTAAATTTCGCGAAAATAATGCTGAAAGATTCTTTACACTGCAACAAATGGAGAACTTTCAGGTCAAAGTTAACAGCAAAAATTTATGCAAGACTTAGTTTACATGCACCTGGGCGATAATCTGATATGTGTGGAACCTGCTGGTTTCAACTGTGTTCTTATTCACGTATTTCATGGAAATTAAGCTGCAATTTATAGAGGAGACACAATAAACCTGTGTATTTTGTTTCTGCCTTTTCCAACCTATCATATTCTTTTGTAAAAATATAATGAAAATGTTATTCTTTTCTCTCAGTAGATGCCAGATATTTGGACTTGATATTATGGATTTTGGAAGAGATTAGTGTTTCTTTACTCTTTACCTGTTTAGATAGTCTGTCTTCCTCTTCAATATACTTCTGTTCTTTAGGCATTAAGGTTCTTATGCTGGCTTTCACCTATGCATTAAAATGTGAGTCAGTATTTCAAACTTATTTGCTCTTTACTAATAACACATCCTTTAATTTGCAAAAATTACAAAGTCTCAAAGTCATGGTTGCCAAACCTGCAACATATAAGTGTACACAGAGACAAGAGTTGTTGCTCCCTACATTAGCAGCAATAGCAGCAGCAGCAACAAAAAGAGTGGGTGTGCCAGGCATTGGCAGAAGAGTATTCTGTAGTATACATGAAGGTTTAGAGAAAATGAGGAATGACAGAAATTCTCTACAAATCAGGAACAAAAGCTCTCATGAAACTGAACTCTTTAGCAGTACAAAAAAGCCAAAGTTAAGACTTACAGCATTAAAAATCACATCTATTTCAAGATAGATGACCCCCTTTGTTGGCCCTGTCAGCTGCTTGTTTTTCAAGACGTAGGCTTTCTGTTCACCATTTTGAATCTGCAGGAAAAGGACATGACAGCCGTCTGTCTCGCAGTCTCCGCTGAATACACCCCCCCAGTGACCCCTGACCCCCAGCTGCTGAAACTGACACAGAACCCAAAACAACTGTGGCAAGTCTGACAAGTACCTGTTCATTACCAGGACCAAGTCTGTCAGGAAAAATTAACTATCATGGGATTCAACATGGCCGTGAATAGAGTATGTTAAAATTTTAGTGTTCTTATTACAGACCTTGGTTGAGAAATGACAGATACAGAGCTGCAAATTTTTTTTTTTCCCCCCTCCCTTCTGCAGAAAAAAATCAGTAGTATGTCAGGTGAATGAAACTTACAGACAGCAATGGTATAGCAACTTTGCCTAGAAAGTCAGCACTTCGATCACGGTCTTCATCGTAAACTGTCACTTCAAGCACCGAGTGGATATCTTTTATATTACTACAAAGGAAGTAGAACACACAGTGGAGAGAGGAAGTCACTTACACCCGTGAGTAGCAAGAGCAAAAGTGTGAAAGGTTAGTACAAACAGAAATCCAACTATTTTTCCAAGCTACGGAGAAGAAGAGAACTTAAGTAAATGAGGCCTCCCTGTGTATAACCAAAATGTGTTCTGAGAGTTGCAATGATTGCCCTCTCTCTTTCTCTCTCTCTGCAAGGCTTTCCTAGCTGAGGTTTGCTTTAAATCTCCTACCTAGGGTTTGCGTTGCATGACCTGCAAGGAGCAGCACTGGGGGATTTACAGCCACCAGTAGCAGGACTAAGAGCTTTTAAAGGCTATCCCTTAAACACTGCTGCCATTGCTGCAATTCTTACTGCAAATACTGTGAAATATGTGGGTTTGTAAATGGAAATAATTACAAGCTACAAGAGCATATCCTTGCACTGAAAACAAGCTCTTTATTTGTGAAATCCTCACTTAATTACAAACATATAGCAGTCATTATAACAAATAAAGAACAAACAATAGGAAACAATCCATTTCTCAGCTACTACTGAGGCAAAAAAGCCTGCAAGCTATTAAACACTCCACGGCCATGCACTAGAAACATCACTGTACATTGTAAACTCGAGTAAAAAATTCATATTCCTTATTTGAAGAAAAAGAATTATTTGAGAGAACTCATTTTTGATCAAATGGCTGAATCAGCAAACACAATTTCAAGCAAATCAGTTTAACTGCAGTAAAATATACGCCTCCAGATGAGAAATTGCTAGTCCAAAAATTAATTAACAAATCTGAGGATAAATATAATATTCAATGTTACTATACATAAAAAAAAGGCCTTAAAGGCCTTTAGAAGTTTTCTAATTGATTCCTGATTAGTCTTTTGTCCTCTACAAATCCAGGCAATTCCTTGAGCAGAGAACACTGCCGAGCATTAGCGGATGATTAGTTATTGGCTCTATTGTTATTTAATTAAAAATAAATTAATGAAGAATTTAACATGGTTTTGCAGATAGAGAAATGAGAACAACAATAATAAGCTGTTGAAGAGTACAACCATTGTGAGATGTTTTCTTTTGTTCCGAGTTCATTCCTGAGAACTCACTGCAGGTCAAGAAAACCTATGGATGCCAAATATATGACTGACAAATTTAAAGAAGGGGGAAAATTAAATTCACACTAAATTTTAAGATCAAGGGCAAAATATAGCATTTTCATTTATGATAAAGTGAATTAAGTACACAAAGCTAAAGCTCCTACTGGTTTTGCAGAGGACTGTTAGCTGATTTCAGCAGCAGTGAGACCTACAATGATCAGGTTTTTTTCTACTTATTGGTATCACATTGCAGTCAGAGAGAAGAAGGGAAGAAAAAGAAGGCAACTGAGCAAGACAAATAACAAGGACATTTTGTTTGTGGAAGACTTTTTTTCTACTTTGTCAAACCCTTTTACTGTCTTCAAAATAACAGAAGGATAAAAATCCAATAGCATCACTTTATGACAAATTAAATATTTTAGAGTGCATTTTACCCAACAGCTGCACTGCAGCTTGTGAGAAGTGCAGTTGTTAAATGGAAAGAAGTGGAAAGTATTTGGTCTTACTTCAGAAACGCATGAATAAATTTAGAATTTCTAACTTTATATATTTGACTAATGTTTTTTAAAGTTAACAACCCCATTTTAATAAAGGTCATTACCACAATATCTTTTTTTTCCCCCACTCAAAACTTCAGGGGCGAACCCATCACACAGGATTTGGTCCTTGAAACTCTCACTGAACCTAGCAGGAGTCCAGAGAGCTTAGCATTACATACAGCTGGTTTCCAAGAAACAGACCTGGCTTTTTAACCTTTAAAATTATACCACTTTTCCAATTTTTTTTCATGTTTTTAATCTTCAAAGAAGTATTCAGATGTTTAGCTTAGAAATATCAGTATGTCGTCACTATTCTTCTTCAGAACCACCAGAAGGTATTCTCTTCAACACTCTCCCCTCCAAAAAAATCCACCCAAAACCTGCTGCCCTCTTTCCCAATCCAAACACCCACTGCCCCCCCCTCCCCCACAAATCCAAACACCTACAATGTGAAGATTTTGTTCCATTCTGGATTGAGGTTCTTGTAGATGGTATGTGTCAGCAGTCTGTCATTGTTCAATTCAACTACACAAAATGGGTCACTTTTACCTATAAGAGAAAATCTGGAATAAAATTTATGAACGAAGAAAACACATGATGAGCAAAGTTTAAATAAAATCTAGGTTTTTTTCCTTCTCCTAAGTTGCACTGTAATTCTCTCAAGAATTAATTCAAGGAAGTCCTACGGTCTGGATTATATTCAAGATATTCAGAAGAGGCCCTCATCTCCTTAATCTATTAATGTTCTTTGCTAAAAGAACAATTTTTTGTCTAAAAAAAAAAAAGTTTAAAAAATCGCTATACAGATTTTGCTGTATGTTTTATTTTTACAGCATGTTCCTACAAGATGCCAGGTACCCTTCTGAGACAGCTAAGAGAACTTTACTTAAATGGTGCCCATTCTCCACTGACTGTAATGAAAACACAGAGCATTTTGATATGAAGGAAATTTATTATTTTGTATTATTTGTAATAAACAGCACCAATCAGAGCTATCCAGAAATTACTAAGGTCTACATGTTTCACATTATACAAATCCTGTCCCCCAAAAAAAAAGTCTTAAAGACAGTCTCATATAAAAGCCTAACACCAGAGAAAGTGGTCAAGTACAAATAAACAACAAGATTATATCAGCTGGAATGATGAGCTGTAGTCTCAGCACAGCAGAAGGTCAAACATAGTTGAGACTAATGTATACA